GTCCTTATAAGAACTTCATTTGTTTGCCAGTATTACTTTGCTCATCTGAGTCTCGACAGCCAATATTTGGTGACTCCTTTGAAACTCCCTCGCAACCCCCCAGGGGTCCCAACTCCCAGGTTGAGAAACACTGTTCTTAACCTTCACTTCTCCACCCTAAACATACCCAGCTCCCTAAGCCACTCCTAACAGGGTATGGCTCCCAGATCTGTGATCATTTTGATCACTTTCCTCTGGATACGTTCCAGTCTGTCGCCATCTTTCCTGAATGACACAGTATTAGACAGAAGAATGAGTCTGTGGCAGCCACTTTTACTAGAATGAACACACCCAGAAATATATATATATATATATATATATATATATATATATATATACACACACACACACACGCTGAAATCTAGACCTTTCCAGGCAAACACATTCAGTAGCAAGACAACCAACAGATCTTTCTTCATCTCCATCAGCAACAAGATGACCAATAGATTTCAATCTCTCCTTTCTGCAGAGTTTCAGGCATCAAAGAACCCTGGATCGTGAATTTGAGGCAATCCAGATGTGGGACAGAAATTGACAGACCTCTCATTTCTATCTAACTAACCTAATTGGGAATATTGGGAGCTGGAACACTGACTTTTTTCTGGGGTGAAGACCAGTTATTTCCTATATGGTCCTAATTAAGTGGTTAGGGAGGGAAAATGGAAAATTATAATTTCCATTCATGCCAAGCGGTAAAGGAGGTGTGTGAGTGAGTGTGTAGAAAGAGGGGATTTTTCAAGCTTTTAGCCTAGTGAAACCTGCCAGGCTACTATTTCATTAAAGTTGTACTAGATCAAGATGAGGCCCACAGGAAATAGAAAGAACTTGGATCCAAAGTGACTTCTCACTTGCTCTACATATTTCATTATGAAACATTACCAGGTTCATAAGTTCTCTTTCTGTTCTGTCTGTCTCTATATTGTCTATACAAAACAACATTGAATGTTTGCCATGTATGTGTACAGTGAACTGCCCTGAGTCCCTTTTGGGGTGAGAAGGGCAGAATATAAATAAAGTGTTGTTGTTATTATTATTGCTTTACTGACACAAAAACATGTCACAGCAAACGAGATATATATGCTGGATTTTGTGTCAGTAAAATAACAACAACACTTTATTTATATTCCACCTTTCTCACCCCAAAGGGGACTCAGGGCGATTATTATTATTATTATTATTAAAATTCAAATTGCAGGTTCACTATACCATGACCTAGGCTACAACACCCAGCTGTACCTGGCTGCTACGTCCAAAGAGATCCTTCTGAGAGGCTCTTTTTGCACATCTGCCATCAAGGCCCATTGGATTAAGAGGCCATGCCTTTTTAATACTGCCGTTATATTTGTGGAATTACTGCTAAAGGGATATACTGTAGATCTGTCCTGTTTTTCATTCTCTTCTTTAATGAGCCTCACAATCCTTTTCATTTTCATTCCAATTGACTTTAATTTAATTGGCTTTAAAGTGTTGGTATTTAGAATGGAAATAGGAGCAACAATTTAAGCAACTGATTAATTTCTAGTTCAATTGCTATGCTGAACTGTATATTGTTCTTAGTTTTGTAATTTTTTACATGTATTTCATGGTGGAAAATACGCAAGTTGTTGTACCTACTTTGAGGTTTGGCAAGAGAAATACTTTCTTAACTTCTCCAAGGAAAAATATCGAATTTATTCCCACCTTGCAAAAATCAGGGTGATCAGAGACAAACAAGAACAGTGTTGTTGTATTCCCTCAAGATATTTTTAATTTTTGGTGACCTTAAGGCAAATCTATCATTTTTATTTTGGGGCTGAGTGTGTGTGACTTGGCTAGGGTCACTCAGTGGGTTTCAATGTTTGAGCAAAAAACTGAACCCCGAGTCACAGTCCAACGTTCAAACCACTACACCATCGGTTCTCTAGATATGAATGATACTCTCCAACAGTTGGGGAATAAATGACAACAAAAGTCTGATATGGGTATATTAAATGGGGAAATGTTTACCCTTGCCCAATATTGTTGGGCTGCAATCCCATCCTCCCATTAATAGCAGCTAGCGTAACAATGGTGAGGGATGATAGGATTTGCTAGCCACACTTTTCCTTTCCCTAGCCTACTGGTTCCAAGGGTGAAGATGGGTTTAGGCCATGCCATTGCAATGGTTTAGGACTGAAACTGTCACAATGTGTCCAAACTCATCCAACTCATGATCATCTGCAGAAACATCCCACCTCCAGCTATACAAATCTCAGGCCCTAGTCTTTGGTTGTAGGTGAGGATCACAGTATACTCAGCTGCTAATCCCTGATATCTCCAGTGCCACCACTATGTAACTAAGTACTGAGGAGCAATGAAGAACATAATGGAAGGTGCCAATGTATTCATTTCTGCTAAGTCCTATTGAACTTGTGACCAGTGATAGGCTGGGGGAGGAAGCCATTCTCTAGATGTGCATCACGTGAAGACTGGCAATTATGCATTGGACAGGGCTTTCCACTTAAACAGGTTCCAGTGAGATGCATGGTTGACTTTTTGACATTGCAGTAAACCATAATCTCTGCTTGAATGTCAAATAAATCTTATGATCCTCTCTCTTTGTGCATTTTCCTTTTCTCATGCTATCTGACGTGGAGAACGAATGAGATTATGCTGTCCTGTTCCCCCCAAAAAGTCTCAAAAATCCATAGAAGCAGCAAGTTGTCGCCACTTGGAAAACAATCCTGTATTGAGGATCTCTCAAACCAGTCCTAAATTTCTAGTGACTTGTTCCAAATTTCTATACACGTTTATTTGGCAGGACGGGTCATGAAATAAATCATTAATTTCATCAAAATAAATGGAGCACATTAGGTGAAACTTTGGTTGCAGCATGAGCAGGATTAGGATCACACTGGAATCCTAAACACACTTACACCAAAGCATGACTCACGCATTCATTAGGACCTGCTTGGATTAGACCAACAGTATGGCTAGGCTGCAAGAACTATGCTGATTCATCATCTTTTTGTCAATAAACGGAATTCAGTTTACTCCCAGAATCACAGATTCTGTATTCATTAAATATTTTTAACCCCCCCCCCCCCCAAAAGCAAACTTGAGAAACATCATTTTCCTATGCCATTGTATGGGACTTGTCTATACACAGATTTTGGTATTGAAGGTGGGGGTGGGTGGGTCCTATAAGCAAACTCCAGTGGATATCAAGGGCCCACTACATTCATAATTCTTCATATTAGAAAAATATCAATACAGGTCCCATTCTGAGAGAACAAAGATTTTCCTTACAAGTTAAATACAAAAATTAGCTACAACAAAAGTCCATTCCCCAATGTCTTTTTTTTCTATTCCTTATCACAATACAGTATTCCCTTGCTACTTCACGGTTAGCTTTTAGCGGACTCACTGTTTTACGGGTTTTTGAAAATATTAATATAAAATATTTATGTCCAATGGAGGCCAGGGACCCCAGAAGTGCGACAGCCTGAGGTGCGGCGGGGAAGGCCTGCCTCCCTGGCCTGCTGCTGCCTGTGTGGCTCCGGAGGCTCTGCAGGGGTCTGCGGAGGCCAGGGAGGCAGGCAGGTGCCCTTGAGATGAACCGGGAGGCGGGTAAGGAAGCTTGAGTAAGAAAATAATATATAAAATAATATTTTAAATATTTAAATTAATATGGCGTCCCTACTTCGTGGATGCTCACTTATTGCGGGTGGGCCTGGAACTGAACCCCCGCAATAAGTGAGGGAACACTGTAATCCCAAAATTTTGCCGTTAACTCTTGACCTCTGATCAACCAAGTACAAATTTGATTCATTTTTAGATTCTGTATTATTTCCTAGTTAAAACTTACACATTTCAAAAACTCTTTTAAAAATGTTCATTTTGCAAAATTCTGTTTATATTGTCCTATGATTTGACATATGCCTCCCCCTTTGTGTGTGTGTGTCAGAAACGACTTGAGAAAAGGCAAGTCGCTTCTGGTGTGAGAGAATTGGCCGTCTGCAAGGATGTTGCCCAAGGGGTGCCCAGATGTTTTGACATTTTACCATCCTTGTGGGAGGCTTCTCTCATGTCCCTGCATGGGGAGCTGGAGCTGACAGAGGGTGCTCAACCCACTCTCCCCAGATTTGAACTGCTGATCTGTTGGCCGGCACAAGGGTTTAACCTCTTGCACCACTGGGGGCTCATGCCACCCATTGACTTCTATAACACTGTTACTGTAGGAGCTCCCATTTATGGGGAGATATACATATGGAGCTGTGGATGAGCAAGTCCCTCCCACTCATTTTAAAACTGCAGGGATATTTGGCATACCTTTTCCCCTCTTCTGCATGTGGACCTATCCACAATGCTGAATTGTAGGAATTATCTTAGTGCTGAGGAACAATATGAAAGGGTTTTGGATCAAGGTGCTATCTTTCTTTTCCGTTACAGTTGGGACAAAACCAGTGGTGCATTATTCTTTGCATGCTAATCCCTGGGGACTTGCCCTTATTCAGGAAACTGGGAAGAAAGTACACTGTGATAGCTTGAGATACCATAAAAACCCAACCCTTACATACTCAATTATTTAAAGTACTCAATAAAGAAATTAAACCAAGCCAAGGAAGCTGTCGTGTAAAGTGGGGTGGGGAAGCACAGTGAGAGAAGCTCCAGAAATAGCCCATGCTGCTTTCTGGTACATTTCTTCCATCGTGAGTCACCTGCCATCCTAGTTCTGCATTGGACTTCAGTGATGCAACCCTTGTTTATATAAAACCATAACACCTGCTCATCAGTCAGAGAGTGAAAGAGGTGCAGGTGTGACTGAATGTTGATTTCTTGGCTGCATACCTGGCCAAACAACTTGGCGGATCTTCTTGTTTGCTTCAGACACATCAAGCAATGGTGCCTGCTTTATTTTTGGCTCTGCTTGCTCGAGGGAAGCCCCCACGGGACTTCTGTTCCATCCCACAGAGGAAACAACATATAGTGACGACACCACATTTTGTTTCAAAAATTAGAGTCTTCATTCAAAATTAGAGTTTGATCTTTGGCAGGGCTCTCCACTTAAAACAGGTTCCAGTGAGAGACAAAGAAAGTGATACACACGCAGACACACCGCTTCACGTGTTTGCACTCACACACACACACAGAGCCTCCCAAGATCTTGCCATGTTTCTGTACAAAAATGTCAAATACAAACAATTCCACAAAACAAAGACTTTGCTCCTGTACACAAAAGTTGAGAGAGTGAGCTGACGTTTGGTAAGCAAATGGCTGTAGTCACCTGACTCCGCACCCTACGAGGGGAGGGGTTGAATGTTGCATTCATGTTAGATGTCCACAGAAGCTATTTTTCCTACCATGGGTCTTGCCTACATACTCTCTCGACAAAGAGCTAAAGAGAAGCAAGGAGAACATAGGAGGAATTTTACATCCCATAGGGCCAACTCCATGAATTGGAGTTGGAGAAAATTGGGGGCTTAAAGGAACTGCTCTCTGTCAAGGAAGAAAGGGATGCCAAATCCTCCATGGGAAAATATTGTACATTCCTGGATCAGTGGTGTCCTATAAAGTCACTAAGGAGGAGAGCGCTTGCCAAGATGACCTCTGAAGCTGGAAAACTGTACAGATCTTAGGCTCAAAAGGTTGAGGAACATGTTCCACACCAGACACCATGATTTTCTAGGCTTCGATGCCTGGAGTTAATTTAATAAGAGCATGGGCACCAGGAGATGTCTGCAGAATCTCTCCAGTAAAAAGATGCCTCCCAAGCATCCCATGCTCTTTTCAGGGCCAAGTCCCCATGCCTGCTTAGTCCAGCATGAAGAACTGATCCCTCTCCTGTCACCCCATCTCCTTCTTACCAAGGCATGCCCAGCAGACCTGGCATAACTTCCTAACAAGTGGCAACCACAAGACCAAAATACAAAGCTGAGCCTGGAACCTACTCCTCGCTCTTGATGCTTGCCAATGCCACAGGAACACAGAGTGCATCTGGCCACACATCCTACAGGCCTTGGGCTATTCCTATGCTAGAGGAGGGAACCTCAGGCCAATGGTTCTAGCTACCTAGCCAGCACACAAGCAGTGAAGACTGCTCCAAAGCAAGCAGCTCCAAACTGTCCACGAGTTGAAGCAGCTGTAGAATCCAGATTAGAGTAATTGGCCACTTCCGGCTGAATTCTCTGGAGAGTCCTGCAGTGGCAGCGGTGTATCTGTAATGAAAAGGAAGAAGAAGCTGTATGAGAATGAGAGTGTAAGCCTTCAGTCATGAGCTCAGACATTATCCCTCTGCCCTGCAGTCTCCTAGGTCACACTTCTAGGTCACACTTCTTATGAGAGTCAAGAGGCAAATAATAGAATATACAGGGTGTCCCTAAAGTCTCTTTACCATTTTAAGTCTCTTTACCATTAAAATGATAAAGAGACTTTACGGACACCCTGTATATTCTGTGTTTTAAAAATTGTGTTATTTTTAAAACACAGAATATACATGGGACGAGAGACAGGGCCTTCTCAGTGGTGGCCCCTCGGCTGTGGAACGCCCTGCCTGTAGATATTAGATCGGCCCCCTCTCTGCTGGCATTTCGGAGGAAGGTGAAGACCTGGCTGTTCGAACAAGCATTCGACTAAACAGTATAATTGAACATAGGAATACGGAATAATGGATGTTGAGACTGGATTCTGATTTTACTGTTGAGGCGCTAATTGATTGTTATACTGTTTAATTGTTGATGCTATAATCTGTTTTTAATGGCTTTATACTTGTCTTGTGATGTTTTGCATTGATGTTGTCAACCGCTTTGAGTCGCCTGAGGGCTGAGAAGAGCGGTATATAAGTAAAGTAAAGTAAATAAATAATAAATATTATATTTGTTGAAAGTGGTTGTTTTATCATTTTTTTTTGTGATATTGTTTTATACTCATGTACCGTTTATGTTATATGTTGCATTGGAGTGCCTTGTAATGCCACCCCAAGTCCCTTTGGGGAGTTGGTGGCAGAATATAAATAATGACAATGATGATGATGATGATGATGATAGAGACTAATTATTCAAGTGCATCAGATATAACATGTCTGATCCTTTCACAGGAAGGCTTATGTACAATAGGACTGGAGACTTACAAAACCACATTTATATGGAATGATAGACTAGCATTCTGGGGAATACCAGCTTCCTGTGTACAAGATTGTGCTGGGGTATATAGCCCATCAGTGTCTATTTTATTCATTCATTCATTCATTTATTTAAAGCATTTATACCCCGTCCTTCTTGACCTCCGAGGAGGGACTCAGAACGGCTTCCTAACAGGCAACGATTCAATACCAAACATGATATAAAACACATAATAAAAACATCCATATACATTAAAATAGTTTAAAAATATATATATTAGAATATATACATTAGTTCGTCAGATTAAAATCGTCATCCAAACCAGTCCAAGTAAAGTTCAATAAAATCTTTGTGCCTCTCTGCAACTACCATACAAAGCAAGGTTGTTAAGATCTTCTGGAGGGGCCCTGCTCTCGGTCCCACCGCCTTCGCAATCACGTTTGGTGGGGACGAGGGACAGGGCCTTTTCGGTGGTGGCCCCTCGGCTTTGGAACTCCCTCCCGGTGGAGATTAGATCTGCCTCCTCCCTCCTGATGTTTAGAAAGCTGGTAAAAACATGGCTTTGGGATACTGCATTTGCAAAATGATGACTGAGTCAATAACTGCTGACCTTTCTGGCGGATGGCGATGAATTTGTGATACTTTTTGACGAACTGATTTTTGCTGTAACTTGTATGAATTGTATTTTAATGTATTTTATATTGATGATTTATAATGTTTTCTTATATTGAATTTTATGTTGTTAGCCGGCCTGAGTCCCACCTCGGAGGTCGAGAAGACCGGGTTATAAAAACTCTAAATAAATAAATCAGGAAGGATTTGTTCAACATGTCGTCTGAATTAGGAACTGTGAGTTGATGCAGTGATATAAACAAGGATTCACAAAATCTTTGTTGAAAAGTCTTGATTTGAAAACGTAATGGCATGCTAAAAACCTGATTTGGTTGCCATGCTAAATAAACCTTCCTGATTAGTTTAACAACTACATCACCAGGAGAGAATAATCAAGAAATACCCGTGTGCATGAGCCAAAGTTTGTGCCTATTGTCTTGCATGAATACAGGTAGGAGCTCCAAAAAAATTAAAGTGGTTTCTAATTGGAGCCCAAAGTACATATGAGTATGCTCATTCTATTTCTGCTCATTGCACTGATTAGTTGCAGAAATCAGGAGTGTAATGGGATGGATGCAAAGGCTGTGCTTGTGTGCACACTATAAGAAATGTGTTTTTTTCAACCTATTTAAATATCTCTTTTTAAAAATATTCTTTTTCTTTAGGCTAACTCCTTTTTTTTGGACTGTTTTGTTCTGAGAACCTCCTCACAAGAAGGATGGAATGCTATCTTCAATTGTGGCACAGGGCCTTACAAGAGGACAGGACAAAAGTGTGCAGGTATTTATTGTTGTTGTGTACCTTCGAGTCAGACTTATGACGACTCAAAGACAAATCAATCACAGGGTTTCTTTGTAAAGATTTGCTCAGAGAGGGTTTGCCATTGCTTTCCTCTGAGATCAAGAAAGTGTGACTTGCCCAAAGCCACCCAATGGGCTTCCATGGTTGAGCAGGGATTTGAACCTTGGTCTCCAGAGCTGTAGTCCAGCACTCAAACCAATACACCATACTAGCGCTCTTGTGCAACTATAAATGTGATCATTACAGAGCATAACCAGTTTTTCAAAAGCCAGACTATTTTTATCGTGACAAGCAATGATGGCTGCACTGAGAAGGAAAACATTGAGAGCCACAATAGTCCCTATTCATATTTACAAAATGGAATAGAAACAAAGGACATTGTTGCAATTCAGTACTAGTGATCATGATTTGAAATTATTATCAGGAAGCACTCCAATAATGCATCTTGAAAATGCCTGAAGGACAGTATTTGTTACATCCAGAAGAATCTACTTTAGCATTGGCTCCTGTTGTGGCCTGAGACCTATCAGTTTTTATTATACTTGATCTCTTAATTTCCTCCTGCCCCATATGTGTTAAATATGAGAAAGGCCTGTTTTTAATCCAGTGATCTTCTTCTAAAACGTTTGCATGATCTGAATGACTTCTGGCTGCTTCCTTTACAGTGAAAAAATGTAGTCTTGAAAAAGGAAGAGTATAGTCACATCAATTTAACCACAGCAAAACAATAATAATAATAATAATAATGTATGCTGGGTCTGTGATCAGGATACAACTGGGTTTTGCCTAAATTAAATATTCTAGGAAAGCAAACACTGTAATATCCTTTTAGCAAGTACCCTTTTTGGGAGGGGCTGAAAAAGCTTCCCTCAGCATATAATGGGATCAAGGCTCCAAGCTGCTTCCAGCCACTGTTTGCAATATATGATATATTTCTCTCTCCTCTTCCCTTCCCTTAACAGTCTGTCTTCTTTTCCAAAGTGTCCCTCACTTCACTACTCCTCCCAGGCTCGAGTTGCCCATTTTGGAAACTCTTATTTTTTAATAAAAAGAGAGAAAGAGAGAAAAGGGAATGTTTTGAAAAGGGAGAGGAGGGGGAGCTTGTAAATAATATATAGATTTTCCCCCTAGAAATCTTTGCAAGCCCTATGTTATCTGCAAATACCTATATGCATATTCATCTTATATATGCATTTCCCCCGAATTTTTTTGCAAGCCCGATTTCTGTGTCTCTAAATGTATTAACTTTTTATGTGCATTTTTGTACCCTTGGAAGTGTTCACTGGCCTTTGCAAGCCCTACAGATATATAATTTTTTCTCCTGAAGTCTTTACACCCCCCCCCCCGCTCTCTCTATATATATAGAGTCTCGCTTATCCAACCTTCGCTGATCCAACGTTCTGTATTATCCAACAGAGTCTACCTCCCGCCTGGATCCACAGCTGTTTCAATACATTGCGATGTTTTGGTGCTAATTCATAAATACAGTAATTACTACGTAATGTTACCACATATTGAACTGCTTTTTCTGTTGACTTGTTATAAAACATGATGTTTTGGTGCTTAATTTTAAAATCATAACGTAATTTGACGTAATCCCTCCTTAACTGTCCAATATTTTCACTTATCCAATGTTCTGCTGGCCTGTTTATGTTGGATAAGCAAGACTCTTCTCTGTGTGTGTGTGTATAGAGGCACGTTCCCTTAAAATATTTGTTAATCTCTCCTCTATAGAGGCATTTCCCCCTCCAATCCCTTGCAATCCCTAAGTCCCTATATATCTGTATCTATCTATCTATCTACATTAATTTTATATATGAATTTCCCCTTATATGTTTGAAGGTCTTTGCAAATCCTATATACTGTATATTAAAATGTGACTTCAATCATTTCTGTGAAAGTGACATTGGGATAGAGTGAAATATTGCGAAAAATACAGGATGTAATCATTATGCAGATGACACCACTTTGATGGCCAAAAGCAAGGAGCTGAGGAGCCTTCTAATCAAGGTGAAAGCTGGGTTGCAGCTAAACATAATGGCAACAAGAATGATTGACAACTGGGAAATAGAGGGAGAAAACATGGAGGCAGTAACAGACTTTGTATTTCATTGGAGGGAAGGATAGTAGAGGCAAAGATGAAGTACTTTGGCTACATTATGAGATGAAAGGAAAGCTTGGAGAAGACAATGATGCTTGGGAAAATGGAAGGAAAAAGGAAGATGGGCCGACCAAGGGCAAGATGGATGGATGGCATCCTTGAAGTGACTGGATTGACCTTGAAGGAGCTGGGGGTGGTGACGGCCGACAGGGAGCTCTGGCATAGGTGGGTCCATGAGGTCTCGAAGAGTCAGAAATGATTGAATGAATTAACAACAACAACAATCATGATGCGTCTTCAAGTACACTTTGAATTACAGCAATTTTATCTTAGGTTTTCTTGGCAAGATTTCTTGCCTTGATATTCTGGGATAGAGGACTGTGTGGAAGGGCCCTAAGATTCCTGGGCTTACATCACTCGCATCTAAGCCCACAACACACTGGAGATAGCAAAGGTGTGAGACTGCCTACTACTTTCCTACTTAACCTTTCTTCCTACCCTTCCTGTCCCTCAGGCTCTTGAAATGAGAGTAGGAAAGCCATGAATTATGCATCAGTTCCAGATCAATCCTAGTGCCTGATCCAAGGGGAAGATTCACCATGCTATTCATATGTGTACCGAGAGTGAGAAAACCACTTTTGCTAAATCATCACAGTCAGGTGGGTGGAAGTAAGAAAACTCACAGGTGGGTTAGGTTGTGACAAAAGTGAACATCCCCATGACCCTGGGTGGAGATGTAGGCCTCAACACCCTTGCTCTTTAGTTCAAGCTGCCTATAGGGCAGAGGACAAGCCTGCATGTCTACATCATCTCTCCCTTCCCTTATTAACCTCATGCATTTATTTGGTGATGGCTCCTACCAACTGCTTCTTCAATGATGGTGCCAGTGGGGCTCTCGGGATGGGCACCCTGTTGCCCCCAGTGCTGCGATCGTAACATCACCATTTCCTCCAAATTGCGTAGCACAGTAACGGTGCCCCTGGGAGGGACAGGTGGGACACGAGTTGGCTCCAGAGACCTGCAAGGAAACGTTTCCGGGATGAATGGGTGGGACTTCTACATCTCATGCCCCCACCTCCCACCCTGCATCACTAAGGCTGCGCGGCTAAAGGCAAATATGTTTGAGATGTTTCTAACTTTTTAAAATACCTTTAAAATGTTGTTTAATTTTTTTTAAGTTTGGGGAACTAGCTTAATCCTTTACAAATATTGTAAACTGGCTTGAATAACGTCTCAAGATGTTTATAAATGCAATAAACACAGAAACAAACTTACTGCTGGATGATTTTGTGGCGGGTTGCTCTGCACAAAAAGGAAATTTACTTGATGCAAAATAAACAATTATCTGTAGAAGGCATTCATGGCTGGAATCACTGGGTTGCTGTGAGTTTTCTGGGTTGTACGGCCATGTTCCGGAAGCATTCTCCCCTGACGTTTCACAAACACGAATCAAGGAACATGAAAGTCACTGCAGACTACTTCAACCAGAGAAGTCAGCCACAGCAGAGCGCTTGATGAACCAACCTGGTCAGAGCATATTATTTGAGAACACAGAAATGCTGGACCACTCTAACAATCACCATGTTGGACTACACAGAGAAGCTATTAAAATCCACAAGGATGTGGACAACTTCAACAGAAGGGAGGAAACCATGAAAATGAACAAAATGAACAAAATCTGCCTATCAGTATTAAAAAAAACTCTAAAAATAACAATCAATAAAGAACAACACTCAGAAAACAGAGGTTAAAAACCCCTTAAAAACAAGGAGAGTAAATAAAGAACAACACTAAATAACAGGGGAATTCCAGACAAGAAACAATCAGGGCCAGCTAATGCCTCCCAACAAAGGAACCCCAGGCAGCAATCAGCCTTGAAGCTGCAAGGCCATTCAATGCTAATCAAGGTGATCAATTGCAGCATTCACACTTGCCTCAAGCAGGCAAGAGTTCTTTCTCCCACCCTGGACATTTCTCTCTCTCTCTCTCTCTCTCTCTCTCTCTCTCTCTCTCTCTCACACACACACACACACACACACACACACATATATACACACACACATACCCCACTTTCCTAATTTCCAAGAGATCTCACAACCTCTGGAGAAGCCTGTCATAGATGTGGGTAAAACGTCAGGAGAGAATACTTTTGGAACATGGCCATACAGCCTGGAAAACTCACAGCAGCCCAGTAAACAATTATCTGCTCACTTCTATATATATAAAATCCGAAGTGGCGTCGTATGAGGAAGCAAAACTCAAAAACCCCCCAACAGAAATTAACCAAAATTCCCATGCACATACCTCAACCCACTAGGTACAAACAAACCCAATCAAAATCAAAAACAACACAACACCACACTCACAAAACGGCAAAACAACTGAGCATGCGCATTGGCACCCAGCCGCAAGTTCCCTGGCACGCGCACATGGCCTGGCGGCCAATGTTCCCTCCGCGCAAGCCACGCCCCCATCCTCACGCCGCGCCGCTTCCCGCCCTGTCAAAACCATCGCAACTCACCCTCCTTCATCTTACCCTGCTCACGCCGCCACACACACACACTCACGCCGGTAAGACACGCCCCCTCCCTCCCTCCCTCCCTTCCCCCCCACCCCTTCCCTCCCTGTCTCACTCTTTCCCTCCTCCCACCCTCCGCCGGTAAGACATGCCCCCTCCCTTCGCCGCGGCGGCCCAAGCACACTCACGCCGGTAAGACACGCCCCCTTCCTTTCCCCCCACCCCTTCCCTCCCTGACTCACTCCTCCCCGTCGCAAACACACACACACACACACACAACGCTCCTTCACTCCTCCCCCCGCCGCCCACACACACCTTCCGCCACACACACACACATTCACTCCAGTAAGACATGCCCCCTTCCTTCCGGCACACACACACACACACCCTCACCCCCCACCCCCCCCCACCCCCGCGCGGCACACACACACACAGGCTCCCTCACTACCTGTTGGGAAAGCAGCAGCAATGGCAGCAGCAACGGAGCATCCATGCAAGGAAGAAGGGGAGGAGGAAGGTCCACGGTGCTTGAATGAAGGACCTTCCTTCTCTCCCTCCCCTCCCTTCTTTCCTCCCTTTCTTTCCTTTTCTTCCTTCCTTCTCCTTCCTTTCCTTCTTTCCCTCCTTCCCTTCCTTCCTTTCCTTCTTTTCCTCCCTCCCTCCCTTTCCTCCTTCTTTCCCTTGCTTCATTTCCATCCCTCCCTCCTTTCTTCCCCTCCTTCCTTCCTTCTCCTCCTTCCCTCCCTCCCCTTTTCCTTCCTTCCTGTCCCTCCTTCCTTCTTCCTTTCCTTCTTTTCCTCCCTCCTTTCCCTTTCTTCATTTCCTTCCCCTTCATTTCCTTCCCTCCCTCCTTTCTTCACCCCCCTCCTTTCTTTCCCTCCTTTCTCCCTCCCTTCCTGTCCCTCCTTTTTCCCTTCCTTCCCTTCTTTCCCTCCCTCGCTTTTTCCTTCCTTCCTGTCCCTCCTTCCTTCTTCATTTCCTTCTTTTCCTCCCTCCCTTTCCTCCTTCTTTCCCTTTCATTTCCTTCCACCCTTATTTCCTTCCCTCCCTCCTTTCTTCATCCCCCTCCTTCCTTCCACCTTCCTTCTCCTCCCTCCCTTCATGTCCCTCCTTTTTCCCCCTTCCTTCCCTTCTTTCCCCCCTCCTTTTTTCCTTCCTTCCTGTCCCTCCTTCCTTTCCTCCTTCTTTCCCATTCTTCATTTCCTTCCCCTTCATTTCCTTATTAAATGGAAGGGACAGTCAAGAAGTAATGAGAGGAGGGAAAAAGGGAAGGAAGAAAGGAGACAAGCAGGGAGGAAAGAAACAGGTAGAGATGGAAGAAAGATGAGACATAGGGAAAGAAAAAGAAGAAAGGAAGGAAAGAGAGAAAGAAGGAGAGAAAGAGGGAGGGAAGGTTGGCCACAGCAACGCATGGCAGGGCACAGCTAGTTACTTATGAAATATTTTACTTTTGCTCTTCTTTTTAAAAACTACAAGGTACTCCCTTTCTCACCTTTACTTTTAACAGGAAACTCAAAATCTCATTTCTAAATGGGATTGGGGGCAACGAACAACCAGATCATTAGCTAAATACTGGGGAATTTGAAACTGTATGGGTTCAGAGAGCCACACACCTTTACAAACCTCATCCACCCATCTACGCACTGTTATTTAGATCTGGTTGTAATGGGGTGTGTACATACTGCTAGGTGACCCTCCCTGACAGTCCCTTCCCTTTTGACTCCATTCTCATTCAAGGAAGAAGCGCACTTGATAAAAGACAGGCTAAGCCTTGCCTTGACTGAACTCTTCTACTGCTGTCAACTACACCCTTTCCCATTCTAAAAAATATGTGTGTGTTGAAAAATGAGGTGGTCTCAGAAAAGAAGGGAAATATTTGAGCCATGAACTTTCCCCTCTGATTTTTCACCAAGATTAAAGGATATCCATATGTATTCTCCTTCCCCTCACACACGTTCTTCTTCGAGCATTTCCTGGGAATGTTACACATAGGCTTAGCAAACCACCTCATCATACACAACACTCGTACACCTTACAGTAGTTAACCAAGGGCCATCCAGCAAATAAAATGGTCTCAAGATATAAAAATGCATTTACAAAAACCAAATGCCTTCCCCATGAGTGCTTACCTGTCTGAGGAGACTATGCCTGTGTGGCTCATAGAACGTCTCACCTGAAGGCAAAGGCAGCAAGGGGTGGGGGTGGAGACATAAACACAATGCAACATCCCATTAGTCCAGACTGATACGTGCAGGAATAATTGTGGTATTTTAGATCACCAATCCAGAGCAACAGTGACTACTTCTTAAGGCTTTAACTCAGTGGTTCTCAACCTGTGGCTCCCCATATGTTTTGGCCTTCAACTCCCAGAAATCCTAACAGTTGGTAAACTGGCTGGGATTTCTGGGAGTTGTAGGTCAAAACACCTGGGGACCCACAGGTTGAGAACCACTGCTAACTGGTTAAACTACCATGATCTGAAACCATCAAAAAGGTCTCAACCAGTAAACTACCATATATACTCGAGTATAAGCCGACCCGAATATAAGCCGAGGCACCTAATTTTACCACAAAAAACCTGGGGAAACAGATTGATTTGAGTATAAGCCGAGGGGTGGGAAATGCAGCAGCTACTGGTCATTCAACTCAGTTTCAAAATAGAAATAGATACCAATACAATTACATTAATTGAGGCATTAGAAGGTTAAATGTTTTTGAATATTTACATAAAAGTGTAATTTAAGATAAGACTGTCCAACTCTGACTAAACCATTATTCTCACCTTCTTCAATGGAAATTTGCTTATGTATCCTTCCAATTATAATAGAGTGAAATAATAAATGTAATAATAATAATAATAATAATAATAAAGTAAAATAATAAATGTAATAATAATAACAACAACGTCAACAACAGAATTCAATAATAAATAATCTTGACTCAAGTATAAGCCGAGAGGGACTTTTTCAGCCTAAAAAAAGGCTGAAAAACTAGGCTTATACTCGAGTATATACAGTATATGCTTTCAGCTGGATGTACAATCTTTAGTTGATTTTCTAAAATGTTAAATGAACTGCACTAGGAAATTTTGAAGCCACTTTTTTGACTAAGGTACTGCTTGGGACAGCAACAGTAAACTCAGATTGGAAGGAGTCCCATTAGACATAGCTCTTCCTTCTTCACCATAAAATTAGACCAAATCACTAATTATATTAGCTCTTATTATTCTTTCGAATTGGTGGTGTACAGCTATAGAGAAGGATGCAGCTTCAAAAAGATAGAGAAAACCTCAAGGTCCAGTTTACAAGCAAACAATATCTGGTGCCATGAGAGACTCATTGCATAACAATATATAATAGATGTATTGAACTACAGCTCCCATCACCTTGAAGTTAGTGTGACCATAAGCTGTCTGAGGATGATTGAAAGTATAGTTTTGGAGGAATCCAATTGGGTAGGACAGCTAAAGAGGAATATAGGGAACAAAGACCTAAAGTAGGCTGATGAACAATAACTTTGTTACAGCTGGTTCAAAATGAAATTGCTGCACTTTGGTAATAAATGCTTTCCTAATAGAATACCAATAATAATAATTGATGCGAGCAGATAATGCGAGCAGATCCAAGTAAGGTGACTTGTGATTTTGTGATAAGAAAGCCAGCATATATATATCTTTTGCTGTGTTATACTGTGTTTTTGTGTCAGTATAATAATAATACATTTTATTTATATTCTGCCCTTCTCCCCTAGGGAACTCAAAGCGGATTACAGCATTTACATACATAGGCAAACATTCAATGCCTTTACAATCATATACAATGAGACACACAAACAAAGGTTTCTCCATTTCTGGCTTCTGGAGGCGGTGCTCATCTTTGGTTCTGGGAAGGCGCTTTTCTCCATTTTCAAGCCAAGGAGCCTGTGTTGTCACCTCCTGGTTGTGTGACCGGCAAGACTGCCTGGAGCATCTCTTTGCCTTTTCCCGCTGAAGTGGTACTTATTTATCTACTCACATTTGTATGTTTTCGAGCTGCTAGGTTAGCAGGAGCTGGGGCTGACAGATGGGAGCTCACTTCATCTCTTGGATTTGAACTGCTGACCTTCAGGTCAGCAATTCAAGCAACCTTCAGGTCAGAAATTTAACAGCACAAGGGTTTAACCCACTGCATCACCACAGTCCTTAATTTTATGGCAACAGGAACATGTCGCAGCTGTTGCTTTTTTAATGATTTGCACATACAGTCCATTAATTGACAAAATGGCAAGTTAAAATGTTGTTGATTACGTTGTCTTGCCTCTCTTTCCATTGTCCATGGTGACTTGGGGTGATGGGAATTAGAGTCCAACATCACCTGGAGGACCCACAGATTCCCTAGCTCTGCCTTAAGACAATACTGTTACATAAGCACTCACAGCCTGTGTCTTGTGATAAAAGGATGGCCTCTTTTAGTTTTGAAATCAAAACTAAATAAATAGAAATATACAGAATTTCAAAAATTTTTTTACCTGCTATTGAAAACATTTATACATTAAGGATACATTCAATACATTTCACTCTGGATTGAATGACCAAAGCGACAGTTATCCCAAATTTCCCAGCAAGCAATAATTTTAGCTCTGGTGCCATACAATATCAACACCCTTTTGCTCAGGAAATCATTTGTGGAGCTTGTTTCCAAAATGTGCCAGATATAATATAAAAATGAGGAAGAAATTAATGGAAAAACAGACTCACCCGGTGGGAATGTGGGAGTTTAGTGCCCACAAAATCAGAAAGCTGAGAGACCGTTGAAGGGTGGTAGAGCTCAGGAGCCAATCGCGTGTTTGCGAATTTCATGCAGTCCTCTAGCGTTGAGATGAACTGGCTGCAGGTTGCTTGTAACAAGGATGATGCTTCATTCATTTTCTGGGGAAAGTCAAGAGCAGCAGGACAGGATGAATGAGAGTAATGGCAGTCTGTGCAGCCTTAGTATCCATGTGCAAGATCCTTCGGACAAATGACTGCACATAAAATTCTCCACTATGATATCAGACATTGATACCAAAACAGTATTGGGGAATATCAGAGAGACTGAAATTTCTGGATTCTTCTAAAGTTGGAAAACCATTATATTATCACAAATAGTCTGTTTGAGTTTTCGAACAGCCTGTGTGTGCTTTCATCATCAATAATGGTAGCAGTATCAGGAAAGGAAAAAAGATCTCATTAGCGAAAACACTTTATAACTTTGTGTTGTTGAAGGCTTTCATGGCCAGAATCACTGGGTTGCTGTGAGTTTTCCATGCTGTATGGCCATGTTCCAGAAGCATTCTCTCCTGACGTTTTGCCTGCATCTATGGCAGGCATCCTCAGAGGTTGTGAGGTCTGTTGGAAACTAGGCAACTGAGGTTTATATATCTGTGGAATGTCCAGGGTGGGAGAAATAACTCTTGTCTGATTGGGGCAGATAACTTTAATCCAGTTGATTAGTACTAACTAGAGTAGACCTAATCAGTCAATGGTTAGATAGTGGGTCAACACATGGGTACATTTTACCAATTCAATGAATCTATTATAGTCAGGACTAATAATGGAATTTTGGCCCCTTCTACATCGACCATTTGATGCACTTTCCTATCTTGAATCAAATGTGCAATTCCTGCTTCTTGGCAGGGGGTTAGACTGGATGGCCCATGAGGTCTCTTCCAACTCTATGATTCTATGACTGAAGAAAGTGGTTTAGGTGTACAGATAATTACACAGAACATCCTGGAACCAGTTTAAGGCCTGGATGGTGTTTACACAAACCACAGAGCATTAATGCACATCAAGGGGTGTTGATTATCTGGCTGCCTTAATTTGAAGCTATTGTCAAACTGCATTAGATAATCAGTGTAGATGAGGCCTTGCTTTAAAGATCTTGCTTTAAAGATCTTGCTTTAAAGATCTTGCTTTAAAGAGTGAATTACAAAGGAATCCTCTAATTGTTTCCAAAAGCTATTTTGCTATGTTTGAAAGAGAACACTCTGCAGTGAATTTTCAGCATAATAACAATGAGTATCAAAAACTAAATAAAATTTCAGACCAAGACACTTTAACAATACACTGCATTACAGTGGCTGCCTGCTTAGAATTCCTTCTTTAAATATAAAAATATTGGAACACCAAAGGTTTCAGCAATGGAAAAGAAAACCCACGGATGTATCAATGCTGTAGAATAAATCCACTTTAACTACCTTGGTTCAATGCTATGGGGTCATGGAGGTTGTAGTTTGGGATCATGGGGCTGCCAGTGAATGCTGATGCCTCACCAAACAACAAAACCCAGCACTGCATAGCATTTAGCCATGGCAATTAAATGAAAGATGAGGTCCCTCAAATAGGAGCTCCAAATTAAGCTCCTGAATCAGCTTCCCCTTTTGCTTAGGCTCAGCATTAAGATTCCTGTATTATGCAAATCTAATGCACACCCTAATTTTGGGAAGGTAATTTAGCCAAAAAAGAAGAAGTGAGCATTAGATTTGAGTACATATGGGTAGTTTTATAAAGTATATAATAAAGAACTGGCACATTTAATTAATACATTGTTCATCTTTACTAAATGTAAACATTCCAAATGTGAGGAAAAAAGCAACTGCAGCTTTGCTACTGAAAGCAAACAAATATCTGCCAGCTTATCTCACTAGATGAGAACTATAAAATGGAAAGGAACCAAACACAATTCTGAATTGTCACATATTAAAGGAGTGGTTCTCAACCAGTAGGTTCTCGGGTGTTTTGGCCTACAACTCCCAGAAATCCCAGCCAGTTTACCAGCTGTTAGGATTTCTGGGAGTTGAAGGCCAAAATATCTGGGGACCCATAGGTTGAGAACCACTGTATTAGAGGATCAGAAATACCAGTAATTTTTTAAAAAGCTATAAGATTTAAAAATAGTGTTCAAATATAGCATTCAGATACTTGGAGGGTTTTTTTTTATTTGCTTGTGCTGGCAAAGCACTTTAGAGAAAAGAGCAGTGGTTCCCAAAAAAATGCTAAAAATGGAGGTGGGAAATACATTTTCAGCATGAGTTTTTGCAGAGACCCAACCTACAGTAAGGCTTGAGTTCAATGGAATAAATTACTTTAAATAAGCATGGGACAAGAACAAGATAACTATGTTTTCTATTTTTCCCCCTACATCTGGCTAAGGCTCACAGGAACTGCAGTCCGGCAACATTTAGAGCACCACACTGCCTTCTGCTGCTTCAACTGTATTCCTCCGGATTGCCACTAAACTATATTCTTGCAGACTGCAGCAGCAGGCATGTTTTCCATGACCCAAAAGTGACATGACAACACTTGGAAGCGTGATTGAAGGAGAGAGAAACCAGGTGGTTGGATTTCAGGGCAGTTTGGTGCTGTACTGGGCCAGAAAATGTGTCCAATTTTTGGAGAGAGGGGAAGAGGTCCAGAGTCTTGGGGATTTTATGTAGCGGTACTTTTTCCATCCCAAAGAAAAATAAGTCAAGAAATCCAGAATTATGATATTAATTTAGATAACATCTTGTATTTATGGTACTCTAGGATTTTTTTAAAATGTAATTTGGCGCATGTTTACTTCTGGAGATGTAGTTATACAAAAGCAGACTTTAGGTATCTCTGATGGTAGTATAATTAGGGTTAATGTTATTGATATTGCTAAAGAGGTAATACTATATAAATTCCAATTTGGTCCTTTAATTATCCTAACAACATCAAAAATTACAAAGAGTTTTAATATGTATTGTTTTTAAATATGCTGTTAGATGCTTTGAGCCTCATTTTGTGGAGAAAAGTGGGATATAAATGAAGATTCTTCTATCCAAACATCTCCCAGAGATGGAGAACTTGTTCTCATATCCTTAAATAATATATTACTTAAAGGTCCATAGAAAACCAGATTTTGGGGTATTGGTCTCTGTTATATCCAAGGGCTACAATAATTACACTATGTAACACAGTTTAGTTCCTGGACTATAAATGTCATCTCCTTTCATAAAACACAGACAAAGTTTATTAAACTGCAAAAGTTTTTTTGTGGGACATCCTGCAGCTCATTTTGCTATAGTTTTTCAATGAATATCTCCTAGAGTCTCAACCAATTCAATATAGTTTGTGGCAGCCACAAAAACAAAGTTTCTGGAGTATAACAATTACTTTCAAAGTAAGTACCCCATAATTAAACAGAAAGTAACACTTTCAAACTAGTAACAGAAAAAAAATGCAAATTTTGTTACTTGTTGTGTTCCATTAAATTCCTTTCAGAGGCTGAAGATGGTTAAAAAAAACACAAGCACAACATTCTCCCAGCTAGACTATATACACACAAAGCCCCTCTCATGTTTTGTCCCCCATACCTGAATGTCAAGTGGGGAGCCATTATCTTGAGGGTGTGTTGCGTCTTGCACAGCCAGGACCTGCTGTGTGAGTACATCACAATACAGCCGCAGTTCAGACAACTTTCTGCCAAGGGACTCGTTGCTTAGGTCTAGATCTGTGGGTGACAAGCAAGTATGACACAGTAAGGAGAGTATAAAAGAAACCAGAGAGTTAGCACTACAAACTGAACAGGTGACTTACGTGTAAATCTGGTTCTATGAGTGGTCATTTGCATCCTCACACAAATGGGTTTTCACACCTGTGATTCACTCAGAATGTTCTTGGACAGAAAAACCTCCCTCATACCATGCCTGCCCTTACCTATCAGGCCGCAATCCCCTCAGTTTTCAAGTTTGCAAAAAAGAAAAAAAGAAAAAAAAGAAAGGCAGGGACCTGAACAAAAGCATATGGTTAGAACCATATATAGGAATGCACCTTTCTCCTTTGCTTCGAGCTGCTTTAGTAGCAACAAAAATGAACAGTTTTGTGCTATTTATTCTTATTCTTATTATATTTATTTACCTTGTTGTCATTTAGTCATGACAATTAATGCCCTCAACAGTCTCAACACTTGTCTAATTCCCTTTGACAAATTATGAAACCTGTGGTCACCATCCCATCCTGTTGCAGCAACTTTATTTACAGAAAATTTACAAGGGGAGAGTGAGGTATGTATACCGCTCTGAGGTCCTTAGAGAAAAAGCAGGATGAAAGAGATAATAAAATTGAATATTTATTATACTATAACTTATGGCAAGGGAACTAGTGACACGTATATCCAATGTGACAAATTTTCCATTAGATTTCAGCATGGATATATCTCAATACAGAATTAAGCTAAATGGTTGTGTGTATGTATGTGTCTTCAAGTTGCTTGTTGACTTATCAAGGTCCCATGAATTCCTTAGAGTTTCTTAGGCAAAGAATACACAAGAGGTGATTTGAAATCTTCTCAAAAGTCAGGGGTTGTCTTATATGTGGGGGTCATCTTATACGCCAGGAGTCGCCTTATAGAGCAGGTGCTGAAACTTCCAATTGGAGAATCTGTGGTTGCTGCATATTGTGGGGGGAGCTCTAAAATGGCAGTGGCCGCGTCCCTGCCATATGCAGCGACTGTATGAAAGTATTAAGGGCGACGCTGTCCAAGGATGGTAGAAGAAAATCCATTCATCGTGGACTTAATGCGGTCCCGAAGGTGAAGTGAAGGGGAGCCTCACCGAGAAGGTGTAAGTGAAGGGAGGAGCAAGCTGCAGGCATCCGGGGCACCCGGGGTATGGAAAAAAGAGATAGAGTGGCTCTGGGCCCAGAAAACACACCTCTTTTACCTGTCTAGCCCACCCTTGTATCCTATTACCATACCTCCTCCTCTGCCTCTCATATCTCGCTCCTGAAGACTGCAGTGAAATGGTGCAGGTGTGCATGTGCGAGATCTGAGAGGCAGAGAAGGAGGTACAGTAATAGGAAAATAACCACATTGAAATCAAATCTGATGCTTTTAAGTTTGGGTTGGTCTCCCTACATTATCTTTTAAAACCCTCCTGCTTAGATACATCCTACCCCGGCCATAAGGTTTTAAATTCTCTGTGTTGTTGTTTATATGTAAGTTATATTAATTGTACTGTTTTATTTGTTTGCTGTTTTGTTTTTACTGATGTGTTGTTGGGCTTGGCCTCATGTAAGCCGCCCCAAGTCCCCTTGGGGAGATGGTGGCGTGGTATAAATAAAGTTTCATTATTATTATTATTCCTTATTGTCCAAAAAATATCCATTCCAGGTCATTCAAGCAAAGGTTATTTTCCCCCCCAGAAAGACACAAATGCACATCAGCCACCCAGTCAGTGTGTCCTTTTCTTGTAAGAGGAAAAAATCATGAGGACATAATATGCCAAGCTCAGGTGTTTGCTTAGGAGGTGTGAGAGTTAAGCTCCTCTTTCTAATCACCAAGTACCAGCAATCCCCACCCTACAGCTCCACAGCTTTGCCTACATCCTCCTTAATCTCACTAGGTTTACAAAACACGAATAACCAACCTTTCTCCTTCTGGCTCCTGCTGTCCCCAAGACAAGCCTTGGAGCTGCCCAAAGCCACCAGCCATTTCTGTCTTTCAGCAGCACCTCCTGCCTTCAGGTAGAAGTACTGCTCACCTGGGATGACCAGCTCCATACGGGTGGGGTCAGTGGTGTGCACTATGAAAAAGAAAGAAAACACAACAAAGTGAATCCTGCAATATCAATGCTTCCAGTGTCATACATTCTCCATCCCACATGAATGAGGAGCTACAATGAAGAATCACGACCTTGCCCAGAATGATGCACAGCGGGAGGACAAGGAGTCCAGCTTCTTGCCATTATGAGGCAGAAGAACAGCGGAGGCCACATTAACTGGTCTCATCAATAAGGCTTGTGTGAAGCCAGCCCTACAGCCACGAACCTGGCTCCACTGTTACATCTTTGGCATATGAAATAAGAAATTTCTGCAAGTCAGGGGGGCATTTCTTCCCCTTCCTGGAACCATAATCAATTTTGCTCCTGAAAATTGGCAGGGCAGTGGCAAGAAAAGTGCTGTGCTCTCTTTAGAAGCACCACTTTCATTAAATGAAGTGCATACCCTTGGATGCATGAATCTGCTTGTGAACAAGTATCATCTTCTCCCTGCAGAATGTTGGTAGCAAAACTGGTGGCAGCTACATCCACTTTGGGAGCCAAAAACCAAAACCCCAGACAGGGGACACACATGAAGCATGTTTGGTTCACCACAGGGGGATATCCCGGTATTATGGTGAGGTAATACCTGGCAGAGCCTCCAATAGGCAGAATGAGGTAATTGTCTCAGACAGCAAATGATAGGAGGCAGAGACAGCAAAAGAGTGTTGACAGAGTGAAGCATATCTTCTATCTATATAAAAATGCTCTGTGCATAATGAGTACCTTAAAAACATAAGAACCAATGAACAAAATCACACCAAATTTGGCAACATAATTTCTTACTACACAAGAAGTGACCATCACTCAAAAATTATGGTTTTGTCATTTGGGAGTTGTAGTTGCTTGGATTTATAGTTCACCTACAATCAAAGAGCATTCTGAACTCCGCCAACGATGGAATTGAACCAAACTTGGCACACAGGACTCCCTTGACCAACAAAAAACATTAGAAAGGTTTGGTGGGCATTGACCTTGGGTTTTGGAGTTGTAGTTCACCTACATCCAGAGAGCACTGTGGACTGAAACAATGATGGATCTGGACCAAACTTGGCACGAATATTCCTTATGCCCAAATATGAACACAGATGGAGTTTGGGGGAAATAGACCTTGACATTTGGCAGTAGTAGTCACTGGGATTCACAGTTCACCTACAATAAAAGAGCATTCTGAACCCCACGAATGACAGAATTGGAGGAAAACTTCCCACACAGAACCCCCATGACCAACAGAAAATATTGAAGGCCACCCAGTCCAACTCCCTTCACCAGGGCAAGAAAACGTAATCAAAGCCCTCCTGACAAAGAGCCATCCAGCTATAGATATAGATAGATATATATGATTCACACACACATATGTATATGACAGATATAGTATCACAGATTTGAAAGGGACCCTTAAAGAAGGACAATTATATGTTGCATGTTCCAGGGTGGGCAAACCAGACACTCTCCTCATCAACACTGACAAAGAAACAGCAAGAAATACTGTTTACCCACAAGCATAAAGAAATTACATATATTAGAAACCAACACTTTCTCATTACTTTATTTTCCAGATCAACAGACTGGGCCACAGCAACACGTGGCAGGGGACAGCTAGTATGCTATATATCCTCTCTTGTGTCCCCAAGGAGGCCTGCTACCACCAGGAACGTTTACACCGCTGCCAGTATTAAAGGAAAAAGTCAGCTCCCGTACGTAGAATGAGCCAAGGATGAGTAGAAACAACATTGCCTTAAGCAGGAAAATGTACTTGGCCAATCTGCTCCTAAAAGAGGAGCGTTCTTAATTTTTTTTAAAAAAAATCTCCCTAATGTAAGGTAAATGTAAAGGTTTCCCCTGACATTAAGTCTAGTTGTGTCCAACTCTGGGGGGTGGTGATCATCTCCATTTCTAAGCTGTAGATCCTTCATTGTCCGTAGACACCTCCAAAGTCAAGTGGCCAGCATGACTGCATGGAGCACCATTACCTTCCCACTAAAATGATCCCTATTGATCTACTCACATTTGCATGTTTTTGAACTGCTAGTTTGGCAGAGGCTGGGGCTGACAGTGGGAGCTCACGCCACTCCCCAAATTTGAACCGCCAACCTTTTGATCAGCAAGTTCAGCAGCTCAGCGGTTTAACCCACTATGCCACCAGCTCCCCCCCCCCCCCCAGATATAGGAAAGCATATTTATACCAGTCTCAGTATATTTTAGAAAAGCAAACCTTCCTCAGGGACACAATGCGATATGCATACGGTAGAAAAAGAGGTGGCAACAGTAAAACATAAATTAGAAAGAAAAAGGTAGAGAGAGAAAAGAAAAAATAATGAGGAAACCTTCTTCTACTCTCATACTAACTAAACAATTAGACATTCAAAAATTTAAATTTCCCTGGCAAAAGTTAAGGATACCTATAAGGATATGCTTGAAAACTCCAAACCATAATAAAGTCTAAGTTGCTCATTAAAACACAACACAAACAGAAATAACCAAACAATAAACAACAACAAAATGTTTTTTCTAACAGCAGTTTTCAAATTTAAGGGACTTTTGTGACTACTACTGCAAAGGATCTGAAAGGAAACCACTTAAATCAATCCCCCATGAACTTTCCACATTGGTTATTCAATGGCATACACCACATATGCGACACCAAATTTATAGACTCTGTGGCTGGCGAGTTAAATGAATGTATTTGCAAAAGATGCAATCGTAAGGTTAAGACATATGCAGGGGTGAAGCTTCCTAAAAATGTATAGGGGGATATATTTGTCATGTGTGAAATTATACACTGCAGTGCTTCTCCTGTGGGACATTTTGCATCACGCTATTTGTGACCTGTCCTTTTCCCTGGCCATTGAAAATGCACATCAACAGGATGCCAAACTTGATAAAGAGGAAGCTGCATTTGGATTTCCCCTCCTATATTATTTCATTCCAAAAGATCTCAAAAGGGAACTGGATTGTCTCCCTTTTTTTCACCTTTCCTTTTCGTTCCCAGTTTTGGTGCTCTGTTCTCTATTTATTTAACAACATATACAGTAAGTGGGTGGCAGATTTAAGCATTTGGTTCTAAATTTCTGGACAGGTGACAATTGTTCCAAAAACTAAATGAGATTCCCGAAACCTGGGAAAGGGAATGAACAACCTGGAACCCCTAATCGAACAGGGTAAACCTGATGCTGGAAAAGTAAAAAGAAGCACAAGTGTCAAAATGGTGCAAAAACAGCACAAAGCAGTCCTTACCTTTGATCTCGCACACAGCCATCTTGATGCTTCCTTTGCTGCCTTTACCCACATCATCCTGAGAGTCGTAATAGGAGAGGATACCATTCTCCAGCACAAAGTACCGGGGCTGCCAACCTAAGATGGGAGAAAGAAAGAGGGGAGATTGGAGTCCAGGTTGTTTCATGAGACAAACAATCTTGCACATGTTTGAAATAAGAAAAAAAATTCCCCATGCACAATACGTCTTTATTCATGGATTCAATATCCATTATTTTACTTACCTATGCTCAAAAAGATTTGTGCCCATCCAACCAGAAGTTTGTGGCCCTCTCTCGGCCTTCCGGTGTTATTCTAAGGCACGTTTTATTGGCCAAGCATAGTCAAAAGATAGGGTTTGCCCTTATCCAAAGTTTCAGTTAATTACAGGAGGCCTCGGAACATTTCCCCCAAGTACTCTATTACCAAAAAGTCTAGTTTCAAATTCTCCTTTGTTGAATGTGCTAAATGTGAACATGCACAGAGGTCCTTCTGCAACAGAAAAATACAGTTTCCCATGTTTTATGGTAAACTATGGCTCAAACCATTTTTAACCAGTTCGTAAGCAGACGTATCTAGAAGTATAGTGAAGTAGGGCTGAAGAAAGAGAGACTTTCAGTGTTAGGTTGCAGCAGCATGCTTGCAATAAGTCATTCAAGAAACTTGACCTGAGAAAGAATAGGATCCTAACTTTAGGAGATCTTACTCTAGCGGTCACAACAGGCAAGGTAAACAGCTGACTCCAGAATGATTTACTAAGCATCATGAAGAGTAAAACTGAAAGAACAGAGGAAGGCAGATTAGTCTACACTGGCATGTTGATAACACATGGATCTACCATGTGTTTTGGTGTATGTATTTTATAGTGGTGTGTTTTGATACATGTATTTCATGTTGATGTGTTTTGACTGGGTTGTAGCCTGCCTCAAGCCATGAGGAAGTGGGTAACACATAAACTGTTGTTGTATCTTGCCATGAAAATAGAATCATAAAAGTAGGGGCTGTTGGAAGAAAAAAAGTCACCCCAGCGTGCATTTTGGAAGAAGCTCTAAAGTCGTCTCTAGAAGATTCAAAATATGTTTGTTCACTTTACTTGACCTGGTTATTTTTTCTCCTATTTTCTCGCTCCCAAAACGGGAAATAGTAGCTAAATGTACCTTTATTCATTACAAAATATTGGATCTGGACCAAACTCGGCACAAATATACTATATGCCCAAATATGAACACAGACGGAGTTTAGGGGAAATAGACCTTGACAATTGGGAGTTGTTGTTACTGGGATTTATAGTTCACCTACAATCAAAGAGCATTCTGAACCCCAACGACAGAATCAGGGCAAACTTCCCACACAGAACCCCCATGACCAACAGAAAATACTTAAGGCCATCCAATCCAACTCCCTTCATCAGGGCAAGAAAACATAATCCTGACAAAGAGCCATCCAGCCATAGAGATAGATAGATAGATATGATTCACACACACACAGATATAGTATCATAGATTTGAAAGGGACCCTTAAAGAAGGACAATTATATATCGCATGTTCCAGGGTGGGCAAACCAGACACTCTCCACATCAACACTGACAAAGAAACATCAAGAAATACTGTTTACCCACAAGCATAAAGAAATTACATATATTAGAAACCAACACTTTCTCGTTACTTTATTTTCCAGTTCAGCAGATTGGGCCACAGCAACGCGTGGAAGGGGACAGCTAGTAGATATATATATCATTCACACAGAGAGATATAGTATCATAGATTTGAAAGCGACCCCTAAAGAAGGACAATTATATATTGCTTGTTCCAGAGTAGGCAAACCAAACAATCTCCACATCAACACTGACAAAGAAACAGAAGAAATACTGTTTACCCACAAGCATAAAGAAATTACATATATTAAAAACTAACACTTTCTCGTTACTTTATTTTCCAGATCACCAAACTGGGCCACAGCAACGTGTGGCAGGGGATGGCTAGTGCATAAATATGTGAGAGGATGTCATAAGGAGGAGGGAGCAGGCTTGTTTTCTGCTGGCCTGAAAACTAAGACTTGAAGCAATGGGTTCAAATTACAAGAAAGGCGATTCCACCTGAACATTAGGAAGACCTTCCTGACCGTACAAGCGGTTCAAAATTGGAACTCACTGCATCAGAGTGGGATCGAAGCTCCTCTTTTGGAAGCTTTTAAACAGAGTCTGGGTGACCACCTGTCGGAGGTGCTTTGATTGTGTTTTTCCTTCATGGCGGGGAGTTAGACTGGATGGCTCACGTGGTCTCTTCCAAGTCTGTAATTCTATAATTTCCTATATTTTGTCTGCTTCAGTTATTTTTCCATACTCTATTGCACCTGTTTTCCCCTTTCAGACAGTTATAATAATAATAATAATAATCTTTATTTATACCCCGCCACCATCTCCCCCAACGGGGACTCGGAGCGGCTTACATGAAGTCAGGCCCAAATAACAAATTGTAGATTTAAGTGTCTTTACAAAATTGCTTATTAAAGAAAGTTAAGAAAAGAAAGAAACTGGAAGAGTTTCAAAACAGGTAAACAGTTTATTTCTTCACTATAAAGGGATACTAGGGTGCTTCCACACTGTGGAATTAATGCAGTTTGATACCACTTGAACTGCCATGGTTTAATGCTTTGGACTCCTGGGAGGTGTAGTTTGGTGAGGCCCCTGCACTCTTTGGCAGAGAAGGCTCAAGACTCTGTAAAACTAAAAATCCCTGGATTCCACAGCATTGAGCCCTGGCAGTCCAAGTGGTGCCAAACTGCACCCATTCCACAGTGTAGACGCTCCCCTCCCTCCTTCCCTCCCAGCCCGGAATGGCTGCGTTGCTAAGAAACGGGAAGAAGGGAGTTGAGGGTCTGGGACTCGGGGGGGGGGCGTTGCCTAGGAGACGGGAGGGCTCGCGCGCCCTCCCTCCTTCCCAAAGCCACGTCCCGATCCGCCTTGGACTCACCCGACAGATAGTTTGTCCATTTCAGCAGCGCTCCCTCCATCTCCAGCGCGGCTCCCGGAGACCGGCGATGCACCGACCCGGACCAATGGCGGCTCTGCGCCGGTGAGACTCAACCAATCGCAGAAGGCGTACCAATCGGGGAAAGGTGGGGGAAGAGAGGGAGGAACAACGGAGACAGGCGATTGGATGCCCAGTGGGAGGAGGAACCAATCAGGATGGTCAAGAGCCAGAGTATAGGACGGGAAACAAAGCCAGGAAGGACGAGGATGGAGCCAGTCCGATGACCCGCGCGGTGGCTCATGGGGAGTGTAGTTCGGACGCCCATTGGAGACAGTCAGCCCATTCTAATCCAGGCTCTTCCTTAATACGATTCTGGTAGATGTAGTTCGCGGGGGGGCCTTCTACATAGTCATATATCCTAGAATATCAAGGCAGGAAATACCACAATATCTGCTTTGAACTGGGTTATCTGAGTTCACACTGCCATATAATCCACTCTAAAGCAGATAATGTGGGATTTTATTAGAAATAGTTTTCTAAGATCTACAAAGACACTCGCTGGAACATATACATATAATATATTGTATATACATATAATATTTATAATATTGTAATGTAGTGCAATATAATACTACTAATAATAATATATATTTATGTTGTTGTTCATTCGTTCAGTCGTCTCCGACTCTTCGTGACCTCATGGACCAGCCCACGACAGAGCTCCCTGTCGGCCGTTACCACCCCCAGCTCCCTCAAGGTCAGTCCAGTCACTTCAAGGATGCCATCCATCCATCTTGCCCTTGGTCGGCCCCTCTTCCTTTTGCCTTCCACTTTCCCCAGCATAATTGTCATCTCTAGGCTTTGCTGTCTCCTCATGATGTGGCCAAAGTACTTCAACTTTGTCTCTAGTATCCTTCCCTCCAGTGAGCAGTCGGGCTTTATTTCCTGGAGGATGGACTGGTTGGATCTTCTCGCAGTCCAAGGCACTCTCAGCACTTTCCTCCAACACCACAGCTCAAAAGCATCGATCTTCCTTCGCTCAGCCTTCCCGAAGGTCCAGCTCTCACATACGTAGGTTACTACAGGGAATACCATGGCTTTGACTAGGCGGATCTTTGTTGCCAGTCTGATGTCTCTACTCTTTACTATTTTATCGAGACTGGACATTGCTCTCCTCCCAAGAAGTAAGCGTCTTCTGATTTCCTGGCTACAGTCTGCATTTGCACCTAGAAATACAAAGTCTGTCACGGCCTCCACGGTTTCTCCCTCTATTTTCCAGTTGTCAATCATTCTTGTTGCCATAATCTTGGTTTTTTTGACGTTTAGCTGCAACCCGGCTTTTGCGCTTTCTTCTTTCACCTTGATTAGAAGGGTCCTCAGCTCCTCCTCGCTTTCGGCCATCAGAGT